CCGGGGCCGGTCCAGGGGGGCCGCCTGGGCCAGGGCCCGGCGAGGGTCCCGGCCCGCCTCAGCCCCCTCCTCGGTCCCCGGGGACTGGTGGAGCAGCAGGGCGCTGTCAGCCGAGCCCCCCCTCTTCAGCTCTCCCCGCCGGGCCCTCCCCGGGGACTCCAGGCTGGAGCCCTTCCTCATGGCTTTGCGGGGGTACTCTGGCCGCTTCTGGGCTTCGGGGGCTTCTTCATCAGAGGAGCCAGGCGCCTCCGCCTCCATGCACAGCCGCCGGGGCCCGGCGCCCCTCGGCCGCTTCCCCAGGGCCACCCCAGGCTCTTCCACACCCTGGCTCTGCCACTCCATGGCGGAGACATCCCCCGGCGCAACGCCCTCCAGCCGCGGCCCTTCAGATGGCCCAATGGCCTCATCATCCGTGGGGATCTCATTGAGCGACATGCGGGAGCCAGAGAACTCCACCTGGTGTGGCATGGGGATGAAGGGCAGCTCCTCCAGGTCGTCCGAGTCCGAGGAGGATGACAGCGCCGGCGACTCCTTGAGGTGCCGTGGCACGGCGATGGAGAGGTGGTTGGATGTGTCCTCCAGCAGCTCCGGGATCGGCCGCAGCACCATGTTGCACTTGTAGCTGATCTGCGAGCGCTGCAGCCGGTGGAGAGGGCTGGATCAGACCCAGGCATGCGGCATGGCATCATCCTGCCCAGTGCACATCACCCCATCCTGCCCAGGGCACGTCACCCTGTCCTTCCCAGCACACATCACCCCATCCTGCCCACCACACAGCTCTGCCTGCCCCCTCCTGCCCCAGCTCCTGCCTTCACCTGCCATTTCCGACGGGAGAGGAAGAGCTTTAGGTGGTCAGTGCTGATGACCTTCCCCTTGGCCAGCGTCTGCAGGGCGAGGGGACAGCGGTGTCCCACAGAGCCTACAGCAGGCTCGGGGGAACCCCGCTGCCATTGGGCGCTGCGTCCCTGTCCAGGCTCACCTTGAACCAGGGATGCTCCAGGGTCTGCTCCGCATTGGGTCTCCTGTGAACCAACACCGCTGGGTGAGAATCACCCGGGCTGGTGGGCTTTGGCCAGCCCGCGGAAGGGCAGGAGGGTCTGGCTGCCCGTGCTGCACCCTGGTAGGGCTGTGCAGCCAGCCTGCCCTCAGGCACCCCGATGCATGGGGGTCCCCACCCTCCCTCAAGCACAAGGCTCACGCCGTAGGGGTGGGGGCCAGGAACCCCGCAGCACTCACAGCCTGTCATTGACCAGCACTTTGATGACGAAGCCCTTGGCTTCCCGGGTGAGCCCCTGGAACATCCTCTCCTCAAAGGCTACGTTGTAGTTGCGGATGTTCATCAGCGTTGTCTTGTCATTCTCCCCCACGAAGGGGGAGATCCCCGTCAGGCTGCCGAGGAGGGGACACTGTCATCGGGCCGGGGGGACATGGGGAACAGCATGGCAAGTACAGGGGACCAAGGACGGGACCCCGGACCCCAGCCCCGGTGCCATGGAGAGGGCAGAGGCAGGAGCAGCCAGGGAGGAGGCTGAGTCTGCAAGGAGTGATGTGCATGGCCGCAGCCCCAGCACTGCAATAGGCAAGGGGGCAGGAAGGGGGTCCCTCCCCTGGGGGCCCAGCGGGGCACTTACCAGAGGTAGGCGATGACCCCCACGGGCCTGCGGAGAGGAGAGCACGGTTACCGCACAGCACCAGCCCTGCGGGGCGCCCAGTCCCTCCTGGCATAGCGGGGAGCCCACCGTCCACCCCAGGGCCACCCTTACCAGATGTCAGTGACACTGGAGATGGGGCTCTGGTTGACGATCTCGGGGCCCACGAACTCGGGGGTGCCATACTTGCAGTACTGTGGCTCCTCAGGTGTCAGCTCCTGCGCATTGCCGAAGTCACAGATCCGGACCTGCTCGCTGCTCGAATCCGCCATCAGGAGGTTTTCTGGCTACAGGACAGCACGGGGCAGAGGGGAGCTTGGCAGGAGGCAGGGGCTCCCCCCAGGGAAGGGATGTCCCCCGTCAGCAGAACCGGGCCCCCCGCAGTGCGGCAGGAGCCCGTCCGTGCAGGTGCAGGGTGGGAGGGATTGGGAGAACCCCGCACTCACTTTGATGTCCAGGTGCAGGACGCTGTGCTGGTGCAAGTAGCAAATCCCTTC